CACTGAGCCATCTTGCTGGCCATAAACACAAGTTCAAAGTGCACCTGACAAGTCAGTGCACACCTGTGATCCCAGGGATCTCAAATCTGAAGTAGGAGGATCTCTAGTTTGGGGCCAGTCTGAGCTACATATCTTTTGTCATCAAAGAAACACAAAACAAAACAAAATACACCTTAAAAAAAGAATAAAATCTAGTCCAGCAGTGGTGGTGCATGCCTTTAATTTCACCACTCAGGAGGCAGAGACAGGCAGATCTCAGTGAGTTTGAGGCCAGCCTGGTCTACAAAGTGAGTTCCAGGACAGCTAGGGCTGTTATACAGAGAAACCCTGTCTCAAACAAAACAAAACAAGAATAAAATCTGGGAAGTTGTGTTTTGGGAAACAAAAGTCCAAGGAAAGCTCTTCCGGCTAATGTTAGATGTATAACTCAGTTCTCAAGCTGTGTTAGTCTGTCGGGTTTCTTGCTGGTGCTTGTCCCGAGCGTAAAAGCAAATCCCAGGAAAAGGTCCAAATACCTCTGGGGACTTAATTCATGCTATAGGTAACATTTTGAATCACAGGTGATCATGAATTACTGAGGAAAATGGTACTGGAGCAATTGGATTTCCACCAGGGAGAAAATTCAGATAGTTCAATGATGTAAGCATTGGAAAGAAAATACTAGAAACCAGGTATGGTGGCTCATCTGCAATCTTAGCACTGGTAGGTGGAGGTAGGAGGAGCAGGAATTCAAGGTCATTCTTGGCTACACAGTAAGTTGGAGTTTTAACCTGGACTACATGAGGTTCTGCATTTTAAAAATCTCACAAATACAGATAAATAAAATTAAGGGCTGGAGCGATGGATCAGTGGCTAAGAGCACTTGTGCGATCCTGAAGACCAGAGTTCGGGTCCCAGCAGCCACATGACAAGCGGGCATCACTCCTACACCTATAATCCCAGCTTCAGGGAGGAACAGAGGCAGAGGGTCACTGGAACTTTCTGGCTTCCAGTCTAGTCAAGAAAATGCAAATCCCCGATCTAGGGTAAGACCCTGCTTCAAAGGGATGGGCCAAGTTGAAGGTACATTCCACACCTTAGTCCCAGCACAGGGAGAGGTCGTAGAGCTCTGTGAGTTTGAAGCCAGCCTGATCTACAGAGTAGTTTTAGGCCAGCCAGGATTACATAGTGAGAGCCTGTCTCACACAAACATCAAAGGGATGCTCTCTCAAGCCTCCAAGGAGACTGTACCCATCCACCCCCACACACGGAAATACACTCACACAAATAAATAAATCTTAAACATCTAACACTCTAGCAGAGAAAAATACCACCAACAAAGAACAGCCACATAGAAGGAAAAAAGTTTTCCTGTAAGTAGTGACTAACATCTTTAATATCTAAAGAATTCTGAACACCAACAAGAAAATATGAATAGCATTATAGAAAAGGGACAAAGAACATTATTTCACAGCAAAATATGAGTAATGAACAAGATGGTCAGACTTGCTTTTAAATGAAGAAAAACACACGACATATAATTTACCTTCAGGCTTTTTTATTTTTATTTTTTTGTTTTTTGAGACAGGGTTTCTCTGTAGTTTTGGTGCCTGTCATGGATCTTGCTCTGTAGATCAGGCTGGCCTTGAACTCACAGAGATCCGCCTGGCTCTGCATCCCGAGTGCTAGGATTGAAGGCATGTGCTACTCCTGCTTGGCTACAAGCTTTCTAAAATGTGTGTGTGTGTGTGTGTGTGTGTGTGTGTGTGTGTGTGTGTGTGTGTGTGTGTGTGTGTGTTAGGCCAGCCTGGTCTACTTAATGAGTTCCAGGTCCACCAGAGCTACAGAGTGAGACTCTATCTCTTATTATTTAAATATATATGCATTTTCATTTTTGCTACAGGGCCAGGAAACATTTAATTTGGAGAAACTGCACAGTTGATTCCCCGGGGGAGCACAAAGCCTAGAATTAGGAAGTTAAAGAACACACCACAGCGGAAGAGGCCCCTACTCCTTTCTTCTTCCAGGACATCCTCCCTCCGGGAAGAGATTCTCTGTGAGTGGCCAGTAGGGCACTGGGCTATGATTGGCATCTTTGCATAGCTTGCTTTGGGTTGAATATGATTGGAGATTTACAAGTTTTACTGTATTAATATTTACTTGTCAATACATGCCAGGCATTGGAATGAGAGTAATTTAACCTCTTTTCTGATTCTGTCCACTTTTCAGTGGCGACAGTTATCATAAACATAACCTGCTTTTCATAATAGACTTCCTTGAAAGTCAGGTTGGCAATGTTGCAGGTTAGAGATCCAACTCCTGAGCTATCTAGCCGGTGAGCAGCGGCTCCCGCCTCAGCTGCCCCCTCCTGGAGCCAGCTGTGTTGACTCAGGACAGCCAACAGAGCCAGAGCTTCCTCTGCCTCAGGAGGGAGACAACAGCTGGTCCTGACTCCTAGTGTGCTGTCAGGATTACAAGAGATAATGCAAGGATGGTGTTTGTAAGACGGATGTGCAAACAGGGGGCTCTCAGGGCTTGGCAGTTAGCTGCCAAATTACACTGAGACATCCAGAGCATTTGAAAAACATGCAGAAAGGCCCATGCAGCCTTCTTGTGGGGCTTAAGTTAGGTCCAAAGTGAGTATTTATTTAATTTGAGGTAGGTACTCATATTCCAGGCTATGTTGACAAGGATGACCTTGAACTTCATGGATGTGTGTGTGTGTGTGTGTGTGTGTGTGTGTGTGTGTGTGTGTGTACACTGGTTCTCACTGGTATCTGGGGCTCACTGATTACACTGCCCTGGCCCCTGGCCAGCCAGGGAGCCCTAGGGACCCATCTGTCTCCATCTCCCCAGCCTGGGATTTTAAGGCCTTATACCACCATGGCCAGCTTTTAATGTGGGTACTGGGGATGAAACTCGGGTCTTCACACTTTGAGGGACAAGCACTTTCCCAACTGGACTGAGGCAACTCACCAGTCCTGACCTTGAACTTCTGAGCCTCTTGCCTCCACCTTTCAAGTTCTAGGTTTAGAGGCAGTGCTGGGGATCAAACTTCCTGCATATTCCAAAAGCACTCCACAACCGAGCTACGTCTCCAGTTTCTTTATGCACACAAAAGAAAGCTGATGATATTGTATAAAGTTTGGAAGATTTATTACTTGACAAATATAAAATGTTCCTTTCTGAGACCCATGGGGCAATGTCATCAGTATTTTCCCATAGGTTCTGTTCAGGGGTTCAGAGAGTAAGCACTACTCCAGTAAGCTACTCCTCCCATGGCCCACTAGCCCTCCCATTCTCTTTCTCTGTTCCTAAATATATTATCTCCTCACCCACCACACACACACACACACACACACACCCCGTTCTCAGACTGCCTAAGGATCATCTTACTGAAACTGTCCTGGGCATCCTCACACAGGAACTAACTGCCTTTTGGTTTCTCTCACTGCAGCAAGGCTATGCCTCCCGGGTAGTTATCACCTTCACAGTGGTGACTGAGGAGCCCTAAAATTGTCCTCCTGTCCCAGCAGAAGACATGCCCTTGCCAGAGTGGTGGACCGTTCCCTTTGTTTTTTGTTTTTTGTTTTTTTTTTGTTAGGGAGATTCACACTTCAGAACCTTCTCAGCCTTTGCACATGCCTAATTGATTATTTTCCCAGACGTGGATGCCTGACTCACAGACACCAACAAAAAATGTCTCACACACACCACTAACAGGGCCAAAGAAAGTGCAGCCGGGAAGGGAGGGATAATAGTAGGTTTTGCAAGAACTGGTTAGGATGCAGCTCCACAAGGGCCTTGATCCGCTGACTTCTCCTTCTCCAGGGCCCCAGAAGTTGAGGTTGGAAGAGCCAAAGACCAGCAGCTCCGGAGAGGAGAGCATTCGCTCTGCAGACACACAGACCTGCTCAGTCACAAAACAAGAACCAAAGGGCAGATCCCAAAGCTCCTGGTTCACCAGAGGAGCCAATGGCTGCCAGGTGTCTACTGTGAGCTACTCCGTGTGGAATCCAGTCCCAGAGACATGATCCTTAACAAGTGATCTGGGGAAACAAATCCCTCACTCACCCAAAGCTTTCATCACAAATCAGGGGCTGGCAAGCTGGAAAGTTGGCTCAGCAGTTAAGATCACATAGTGTTCTCCTAGGAGGCCCGGGTTCAGTTCCCAGCACCCACATGACAGCTCACAACTGTCTGTAACTCCAGTTCCAGGGGGATCAGACACCCTCTTCTGGCCTTCCAGGGTACCAGGCACACAAGTGACTGTACATGTAGGCAAAACACTCATACACAATAAAAAAAAAGAATACGTAAATAAACCATGGGCTAGTGAGACAGCTCCGTATGTTAAGGCACTTGCCACCAAGATTGACACCAGAATTCAGTCCCTCTGGGACCCACACGTGAGGAGAGAACTGACTCCAACTTGTATACCCACTCCATAGCATGTGCATGCTCACTCACACATAAACACAAAAACAAATGTCTTAAACTTTTTTTTTTTTAATCAGGTGAGCTGGGTGTGGTGGTGCACACCTTTAATCCATGATGTCCTCCTCTATACTCGGTAGGCAGAGGTCAGCCTGGTGTACATAGCCAGTCAAAACTACAGAGAAACTGTCTCAAATAAATAAATCAGGTGTATTTTTTGTTTGCTTGCTTTTTGGTTTGGGGACAGTCTGACTCTGTAGCCTAGGCTTGCCTGAAATTTACTATGTAACTCAACCTGGCTTCGAATTCGTGAATGACTTCCTGCCTCAGTCTCCCAGTGTTGGGAGCTAGCACTTCCAGCAAGAGTCTGTCTTTCAAAGAAGCCAGCAGAGCACCTTCAGCCTTCAGGGGAAGGTTCTAAACCCCAGGAGAGCCGCACTTCCAGCCACACTCAAGATGGCTTCAGCCCGCAGCCCATTCTCCAGTTGCGACAGGTATATACTTCCGCCTGCCACTCCCAACATGGCGCCAGCAGAGCGTCCGGGGGCGGGACCGAGGGCGGAAGTGGGTGTGACAGGGACGGAAGCCGAGCGGGCCTCTGAGCGAAGTCAGCGGGCAGTGGGAGCCTCGCTGTCCGCTGCGATGATTCCCCCGCAGGAGGCTTCCGCCCGGCGGCGGGAAATCGAGGACAAACTGAAGAAGGTGAGGCAGGGTAGAAAGTGAAGGAAGGGTGCCAGGGCATCGACTGCGGGGGTGGAAGGAGAAGTGAGGTTGAGGGTAGGCCGTGGGGTCGGGCGGTGGTGGTCTCCATTCTCCACCGGCTGGGGGTGATGATCTCCTCTCCACTCCTCGCAGGAGGAGGAGACGCTGTCCTTCATCCGAGACAGCCTGGAGAAGAGCGACCAGCTCACTAAGAACATGGTGAGTAGCCCTTCAGCTGGAAGGCCGCAGACAGGCCCCGGGACCCAGAGCAGGGGCTTGTGACGGACGGGTCCGGCGACTGAGTCCAGCGTGGGTAGCAACGGTGGTAACGTGTGGGCTTCTCTAGCGGCGATGGGCATCTCTGCTCCCTAGTCTCCGCCTCCTCACCGCAGATCTATTATATACATAATAAATGTATACACCGCTGGTCTGGACTTGTTGTTGTCTGTCCTTCTGCAAACATTTAGTGATACTCCGTAGATGGGCTGGTACTGGCCCCGTGTCACTGTCAAGTCAAGTGATGGATGCTCGCCTGGAAGGTTGGTTCAGCGAGATTACCGAGACAGCGAAGTCCCAAAGGGTTTTCGTGATAGAACCGTCTCAGAGAGCTGATGGATCTTAGATTTAGCCCTTGTCCCACAGCTTATTTATGTGGTTCTTGGCGGGCAAGACTTGAGTTTTGGTTAATTCGTTTGCTGAAACAGACAACGACAGCCTCCCAGTGTGTCTGTGAAGGGGTCTATGAACCGATGCATGTTGCACACGTATGATGTATATGATTGGTGCTTTAAAAGTGCTTTTATTTATTTTTTTCTCCCCGAGACGGGTTTCTCTGTGCAGCCCTGTCCTGGAACTCGATTTGTAGACCAGACTGCCCTTGAACTCAGAGATCTGCCTGCCTCTGCCAACCCAGTACTGGGATTAATGGCATGTGCCACCACCACTTGGCTTGCTTCTTTATTCTTAGAGGAAACTGGAACACAAATTGAGTAAATACAAACTTGCATTTGTGTTTAGTCACACAATAATAAAATTGTATGCTTCTTAAATGCGATTCACCCTTAGGGAAAGCGGGTGCCCCCTCCCCCTTTGGTTTTTCGAGACAGGGTTTCTCTGTGTAGCTTTGGCCCCTTTCCTGGAACTCACTGTGTAGACCACGCTGGCCTCGGAACTCACAGAGATCCACCTGCCTCTGCCTCCCGAGAGCTGGGAATAAAGGTGTGTGATACCACCACCAGGCAGGGAAAGCGGGTTTTTAAAGTAATAGCCATATATTTGAGACTTCTTTTCATGAAGCTACTTCCTGTTAAGTCTAGGAAAACTTCAGAGAGAACAGAAATTGAGACTGGGCTTTAAAGGGTAGACAAGAATGCCTTCAGAGGCCAGAAGAGGGCATTGGATCCTCTGGAACTGGAGTTGAAGGCAGTTAAGTTGTGAGCAGTGATGTGGGTTCTGGGACCGGAACTCAAGTCCTCTGCAGGAACAGCAAGTGCTCTCAACCACTGAGCTATCTCTCCAGCTCCCTGGGGGTGGTTATCTTAAGAAGAATTAGTTTGATATTTTTCTTGCCTTAAGACAAGAACTACCTGCTCTTCCAGAGGACCCAGGTTCTATTTCCAGCACCCAAATGTCAGCTTACAACTGGCTGTAACTCATGCAGGCAAAAAAAAAAAAAAAAAAAAAAGAAAGATAGAAAAAGAAAAAGAAAAAAAAGAAGTCAATGTACGTAAAAATAAATAATTTTTTTTTTTTTTTAAGATTTATTTATTACATATACAGTGTTCTGCCTGCATGTATCCCTGCAGGCCAGATGAGGGCACCAGATGTCATTACAGATGGTTGTGAGCCACCATGTGGTTGCTGGGAATTGAACTTGGGACCTCTGGAAGAGCAGTCAGTGCTCTTAACCCCTGAGCCATCTCTCCAGCCCCATAAATAAATTTTTAAAAAATGAAATTTCAACAGTTTATCTTGAATCACACTCGCTGTACCGAACTAGGGACACAGTAGCAGCAAACAAGTCAACTGTGTTCCTTCCTAGACGTAACTTATTGTCTAGAAAACCAAGAAAAGATAGGTGCCAGGATAGCCCAGAGACCTGCAAGCCAGAGGCTTTCCTCCTGCAGGTGTCTATCCTGTCGTCCTTTGAGAGCCGTCTCATGAAGCTGGAGAACTCCATCATCCCTGTGCACAAGCAAACGGAGAATCTGCAGAGGCTGCAAGAGAATGTCGAAAAGACGTTATCCTGTCTGGACCATGTCATCAGCTATTACCACGTAGCCAGTGACACTGAGAAGGTCATCAGAGAAGGGTGAGTTGCATGCAGAGGCCACATAACTACTGTCTCCTGGACCAGTGACTCCAGGCCTTAGAAGGGGAATAAAGCATGTCTGAGCCTAGAGTCCCTCATGGGATGTTCCTTCTCTTCCCCTCCGGCATTCCATGCTCTTTAGTCCATCTGTGTGACCCCACCCTTCAAGGCTGACCCAGCGTTTTTTCCTTCCCAGCCCCACAGGTAGGCTGGAAGAATACCTGGGAAGCATGGCCAAAATCCAGAAGGCTGTGGAATATTTTCAGGACAATAGCCCAGACAGTCCAGAGCTCAACAAAGTGGTAAGGAATCAGTGGGCTAATGTGAGACATATGGGACATCAATCCCTAGTCTTGTGAGGGACACATGACTAGTTTAAAGAAGTATGTTGAAAGCCGGGCGGTGGTGGCGCACGCCTTTAATCCCAGCACTCGGGAGGCAGAGCCAGGCGGATCTCTGTGAGTTCGAGGCCAGCCTGGACTACCAAGTGAGTCCCAGGAAAGGCGCAAAGCTACACAGAGAAACCCTGTCTCGAAAAATCAAAAAAAAAAAAAAAAAAAAAAGAAGTATGTTGAAGCCAGGTGTGGTGACTCATGCCTAGAACTTGTGAAACCTATCTCAAAATATTGAGAAAGTATATGAAAGAATAAGATACGTCAGGCGGTGGTGGCACACGCCTTTAATCCCAGCACTTGGGAGGCAGAGGCAGGCCGATCTCTGTGAGTTCGAGGCCAGCCTGGTCTACAGAGTGAGATCCAGGACAGCCAGGGCTACATAGAGAAACCCTGTCTTTTAAAAAAAAAAAAAAAGATGATACATAGTATTCAAAATGTAGGCATTAGGTTCTGTGCTTCAGGAATTATAACTTCTTACCATACTTTTATAGTTTAGTTAAATTTCAAATGTAAGTTTAACATTTGATTTTCATATATCCATTGGTGGTTTCTTCACTATGGTAAAAAAACTCATCCTATACCTAGCATGGTGCCTCATACCTGTAATTCTAGCACTCAGGAGGTTGAGGCAGGAGGATTGCTGTAAGTCTAGATTGGGCTGCATAGTGAATTCCAGGCTAGTCAAAGCTCCATAGTAAAACCCTGTCTCAAAGCCATAAAGCAAAATAAATAAATAAATCACATAAAATTGACCATTTCCGCCAGGCGTGATGACAAATACCTGTATTCTTGGCATTAGAGAGACAGAGGCAGGAGGATTACTGTAAATGTGAGGCCATCAGGGGCTCAAAAACCCAAACCAAAACATTAGTGTTGCCTTTGTGACTCTTTGTAAGTACACAGTTGGGTGGCATAAGTACATTCCCATTGTCGTCCCACCATGACTCCGGTCCTGACCCCAGTCTGTCTCCGGAATCTTTTCATCTTCCTGAAACCCAGCTCTGTACTGTTTAACACCACATGTCCTTCAGGGTGTTCTGTGTAGCGTGTGTCGGTTGAAGAAAGAAGGCACTCCAAGTTGAAATTCTAAGGTCTGTTTGGCAGCAGGAAGGTCCGTCCAGCCTTTCTGATGGACTGAACCCTGAACAGCTGTACAAAGGCGTATTTATTGAAAGTAACACCAAGTATTTCCTCATACCAAGGTCCCTAATCTAATTTACATGTCTTACTAAAGGGAAGCATCCCATGCCCTCATGACTCTAGTCCTTTATTATGGATCCTGTGCAGTACACAATAACACAAGAGCCTCAGGTGGCCAGAGGCGTCTGTGACCAAAGTCATGGGATGGCTGCAATGCTCCTTCAGTAAAACGTTTCTATAAGTCCCGGAAAACAGTCACTGTTTTCCACAAGGATTCTTCAAGGTCAAAGGACTTCTAGAAAACAGCTGTTCATTCTAATGTCTACCCCAGATACAGCGACTCTGCTAAATTCCTACAACAGTGCCCTTCCCTCCAGCATCTGATTAACTTCTCTTCTACTTCCTGTTTATGGATTCGACAATTCTAGAACCCTGAGTCTATGTGCTCTTATTGCATCGTATTTGTGTGTTTAAATTTTTAGGTCATTAGATCATTGTAGAAAAATGGGGAATGCTGGGAGTGAGGGGTCTCTGCTGTATGTGAGGGAAGATGTTGTACATAGGGCAAAGGTCGGGGAAGAGGCCATATCTTGTAGTGCGAATTCTGATTGGTCTTAATAATGAAAACCCAGAGTCAGATATCAGGGTGAAAACTGAAAGATCAGAGAAGCAGAGCAGCCAGCCACTAGAAAGACTTCTTACCTCTAGGAATCCTCAGACTGAAAGGGGGCAAGCTCCTGTCTCCACCCCGGCTTATCACTTCCTCTCTCTGTTCAGCCATATCACTTCCTGTTTCCTCCTCACAAATGCTGGGATTAAAGGTGTGTGCCACCACTGCCTGGCCTCTATGGTTAACTGGTGGCTGGCTCTGTCCTCTGATCTCCAGACAGGCTTTATTTGTTAGAGCACAAACAAAATATCACCACATTTCAGAGTATCTCCACAATATCTAGAGAAGTAAGTGGTACTTGGGGAGGGCCACCCTGCACCCTCATCCTGTTGCTGGCCCCCCTTTTGGAGGTTGGGGGTGCTAAGTATCAGATCCATTCCACATGCTAGGCAAGCACTACCACTGAGCTGGCTTCCTAGCCAGTAACAGTCCTTCTTGTTTTTTAACCTTTTAAAAATATTCATTTGTTTATTTTATGTCTATGTGTGTATGCCTAACTGTGTCTGTACACCATGTGCATGCGGGTGCCCTCCCACAAGGGGCACCAGATCATCCCCTGGTACTAGACTTTCAGGTAGTTGTGAGCCGTTCCATGCTGGGAAGTGCCTCCCCTCGCCCCTCCTCAGCTGTTTTCTTGTTTTGTTTCAGTGTGCTTACGTATGCTGGGGATTGAACCTAGGGACGCCCACATAGTAAGCAAGTGGTCTACCACAGAGCGCCAGCCCTGTCTACCACAGAGCCCAGCCTTGTCTACCACAGAGCCCCAGCCCCAGCCCCAGAAGGCCTTTGCTTAGGAGCAGACTTACCCCCTTCCGTTCTGTCATGGCCTATGTCAGAAATGAGGGTATTTATGTGATACTGTGAGATGAGCTGGTAACTAGCCGGTGGTCTTGGCTTTACTTTCTTACACCGTGTAGAAAGCTGCCTGGCTCTGTCTCTCAAGTGCTGGAATTAAAGGTGTATGGCACCACATCTGTCTCAGACCTATCTCTTCATGTAGGTGCTAGGAATAGAATTTAGGTTTTCATGCTTACAGAGCAAACAAATTACCAGCTGGCCTGTCTTCCTAGGCCTTGGCTTCTTTGTTTTATCATAGTATGTTTTTGTTATTGTTGATCTTTTTTCTTTTTTCTTTTTCAAGACAGAGTTTCTTTGTGTAGTCCTGGCTGTCCTAGAACTCACAGAGATCTGCCTGCCTCTGCCTCCCTGAGTGCTGGGATTAAAGGTGTGTGCCACCACTGCCCGGCTTAGTGTAATATTTTTAAGGTTCATCGATTTGCAGCATACTGTATCAATTCAGTATTTCATACCTTTTTATTGCTAAATGATATAGATATACAACATTAAGAAATGTGTTTGTGCCAGGTGGTGGTGGCTCACGCCTTTAATCCCAGCACTCGGGAGGCAGAGCCAGGCGGATCTCTGTGAGTTCGAGGCCAGCCTGGGCTACAGAGCGAGATCCAGGAAAGGCGCAAAGCTACACAGAGAAACCCTGTCTTGAAAAAAACAAAAAAAAAAAAAAAAAAAAAAAAAAAAGAAAAAAAAGAAATGTGTTTGTGGGTGGTGGTGGTGCACGCCTTTAATCTCAGCACTCAGGAGGCAGAGGCAGGCAGATCTCTGTGAGTTCGAGGCCAGCCTGGTCTACAGAGTGAGATCCAGGACAGGCACCAAAACTACACAGAGAAACCCTGCTTCATAAAAACCAAAAAGAAAAGAAATGTGTTTATTCATTTCATTCGTGTGATGGTGTATGTGGAAGCCAAAGGACAGTTCACAGGAGGCTCCTTTCTCCTTCCAAACTCAGCAGCAGATGCCAAACCCACTGAACCATCTTGGCCGATCTGATGGCCCACACTTGTTCAGCCATTTCCACTTGATGGCCACTAGAGCTGTCTCCACTTCCTGTCCATTGTGAATGATGCTGTATTGACCTTTGGGTCTATATTTTAGTGTGGACATTTGTTTTGAAGTCTCTTCTGTGTTTTCGATACATGATTTGTAAATATTTTCTCAGACATTATTTTCACTTTCTTATTGATAACCCTTGACACTAATTTGAGATAATCCAACTGTCTTAGGGTTTCTGTTGCTGTGATGAAACATCATGACCAAAACAACTTGGGGAGGAAAGGGTTTATTTGACTTACACTTCCACATTGTGGTTCATCATTGAAGGAAGTCAGGGCAGGAACTCCAGCAGGGCAGGAACCTGGAGTCAGGAGCTGATGCAGAGGCCGTGGAGGGTGCTGCTCACTGGCTTGTTCCTCATGGCTGGCTCAGCCTGCTTTTTTATAGAACTCAGGACCACCAGCCCAGGGATAGCATCACCCACAATGGGCTGGGCCCTCCCTTGTCAATCACTAATTAAGAAAATGCCCTATTGCCTACAGCCAGATCTATGGAAGCATTTTCTCAGTTGAGGCTCCCTCTTCTCATATGACGCTAGTTTGTGTCAAGTTGACATAAAAGTAGCCAGCACATCAATACCTGCCTTTTTTCTTTTGCAAATTCCTTTCTAACTGGAAGACAAATTAACAGTGAAAATGAGAAAATAATAAATTAATGCTTGTTAAGCAGAGTTTTACTCGTCAACATCAAGTATTTTTGGTTTATTTTTAGACAGGGCCTCACTGTGTTGTCTTGGCTGGCCTCGAACTCACAGAGATCCCCCGCCTCTGCTTGAGTGCTGGGATCAAAGGTGTGCGCCACCGCAACCGGCCAACCATCAGTTCTGAGAAACAGAAGGAAAGGAAATGGCCGAGCTAGGCTTCCCAGTGTTTCTTCTGTGGGTTGAGGCGTGGCTGGGGCTCACAGAGGCCCGAGGGCGGGGAGGGCAGGGGCTGCAGAACAGAGCTCAGCATCAGCAGCCGGCCTCCTTCCCTTGTCCTGGCAGAAGCTACTCTTTGAGAGAGGGAAGGAGTCGCTGGGGTCTGAGTTCCGCAGTCTGATGACCAGGCACAGCAAGGTCGTCTCCCCTGTGCTCATCCTGGACCTGATCAGTGGGGATGATGAACTGGAGGTCCAGGAAGAAGGGACCCTGGAGCACCTGCCTGAAAGTGTACTCCAGGATGTGGTCCGCATCTCCCGCTGGCTGGTGGAGTACGGCCGGAACCAAGGTGAGGGGGCTCCCTCTGCCAGAAGAACGGCAGCTTTCCCACCACCTCCCCAACCTTTTCTCTCTGTTTTGTGACAGGGTCTCACTATAAAGCTCTGGTTGTCCTGGAACTCACTCTGTAGACCAGGCTAGCCACAAACTCACAGAGATCCTCCTGCCTCTGCCTCCCAAGTGTTGGGGTTATGGGTGTGCGCTAACATACCCAGCCATTGCTCACATCTTTTGACAAAGTCTGAATATTGCCTTTGTTTTTGTTTTTTGGTTCTTTTTAGATTTATTTCCCTTTTATTTACATGTATGTTGTGTGTCTATGTGAGTATATGTCACATGCATGCACCTGCCCGTAGAGGCCAGATGAGAGCCGTCTCCATGGAACTAGAGTTATCGGTGTTAGTGAGCCACCTGGCGTGGGTACTGGGAACTGAACTCAGGCTCTCTGAAAGCACGCTGTACCTTTACCTGCGCCTTGCGCCCTCCCTAACGCAGAACAGGAACAACAACAAAACCACATGGCACCAACACAAGTTGGTAGGGAAGGTGGTATAGCTCTGTAGAAGAGTACTTGCCTGGCATACTGGAATTCCTGGCTTTGAACCCCAGCCTCATAATTATTCTGTTGGAGGATAGTTTTTCCCTTTGAGACTTTGCCTGATTTGAGATGAGGCCACATGAGTGGTTAGAAGCCAGAGCAGGTGCTAGGAAGAGATTAACCCGTAGCATCGTGGACTCTGCTGCTTTCCTGTACAGAATGACACAGGCATAGGGGCCCTGGGGCACACTTCTGTTCCTGTCTCTCTCCAGACTTCATGAATGTCTACTACCAGATTCGCTCCAGCCAGCTGGACCGCTCCATCAAAGGCCTAAAGGAGCATTTTCGCAAAAGCAGTTCTTCCTCTGGGGTTCCCTACTCCCCTGCCATCCCCAACAAGAGGAAAGACACACCTACCAAGAAGCCCGTCAAGCGGCCAGGTGAGCCCACTCTGACTATTTAAATAACCTACCAAGGGATCCCTGGAGTCTGGGTTGTCTTTGTCCACTCTGGGGTGAGCAATATCAGCCTTCTGATATCAGCAGTATAGCCCATGTCTATGGTCACCTGACTCCTAGGGACACCGGATAGAGCAAATATCCCCTACTCAAAAGGCCCTATGATTCTTATACCCAGCAGCTGGGTGATTTCCATAAGGTTTGGGGGATGGGAGGTGCAGGGCCACTAGTGTGCTTAATTGTCTCTGAGGCAGGCTGGCAGAGGCCATAGGTCAGAGTGACTTGCTAGGTCTCCTTCCCTTTGCTCTGTGATCCTGTTGGGTGAGGAGAGGCAGGCACCCCAGCCTTCCAGAAAGCCAGATCAATGTAAACTGCTCCATAGCTCAAAAGTGGGCATGGTGTAGAGGTAGGTGTGGGCAGTGAGACTCCAGCCCACTATATGTTCCTCCTGACCTCACGTTTGTTTAGCCTGTGCTCCAGGCTGACTGTCTCTGTCAGCCTGGCAGTCCCCTGCCTCAAGAGAGGCTGACCCCAGCCCCAGGAAAGAGAGGATGTTGGCTACTGCAGTAGTCCCGGGAGAGAAAGCCAGTGGGCTGGAGTGAGGTGCCCACCCTGGGCTTCCAGCTGCAGCTCAGGCCTGGTTAAGGAACGTGCTTTCCTAACAGCAGGCCTTGAGTAGAGCTCACACCCTCATTTCCCAGTCCTAACCCACCCAAGCCCTTCAGAGAGCAACCACATCACCTGCTTCTTCAGCCTTTGCTGAGGTTTGGAGACATGGCCAAGGGAGACTGCCTTCAGGGCTTGGTGGCCTCTGCAGGAATTGCATTGTCTTCCGCCCTTCCTTCAGTGAGTGTCCTGGCTGCCCCAGTAGAGAACTTGCTATAAACAGTGACTCTACTAACCCACGCTGCTGGGCTACAGCTGCCCGCATGGCTGGCCAGTCCACCTCTGTGCCCTCCTGATATGGGGAGGAGCTGTGTCCATGAGGTTGTCAGGGCCTCAGCTGTTCTGTGCTCGCTTCTTCTTCCTGGTTCTTTGACAAGCCCACTGGAGGCTCCAGAACCCTGTTTGCCCTGCCCCAGTATCCACTGGCCTTGCAGGTCCTAGCCTTTCAGGATGAGGGATATAACCTCAGGGCTCTCCATGAACTTAATCTGTCCTTGTCATGGAGATGCAAAGGTCTGTGAGGTCCCTGTGGTTCTGTAGGGCTTTGGGAGTTGGCAGGAGTGAGTGGATTTAAGACTGAGATGAAGATGATGGAGTCAGGTCCTCCGGACGTCTGTCTGCACTCTGAGGACAGGAGAGCTGATGGCCTCATTGGTGATGAGGCACCAACCTCAGCATCTGCCCTTATAATTGGACTCGGTTGCTGCCAGGTCAGCATCCCCATTTCCTCGCAGCCAGTGTGCTGGTTAGGTCCCTGTTGAGCCCACAGCCCATCTGCTCCTGGGTAGGTTGTGGGGCGGGAATCTGATTCACTCATTACTAGGGCGCTCGCTCACTTAGGAGGGAACGCGGAGGGAAGCAGATGTGAGCTGGCCTGCCAAGAAGAGTTACCAGTAGCTAATTTCAGCGTGGTACAAACAGAGATGAGCCAGCTGAACCCTGCCCCGCCTGCCCAGGCTGGTGGGTGCTGTGAGGACAGCCGCCTTGCTGGGCTCGGGTGTGGTGGAGGGAGTCTCAGGAAGGCGGCACAGTTAAGCTCCTGGATGACTCATTATCCTGGCACATTTTGCTACCTGGGAGCAGTGCCTGCTGACTGACATGCTGCCTATGTCCCCACATTGTGGGTTCCAAAATGTCTTACTCCCAGGAGCTGGCAGCCCTGAAAGCTGGGCTGCCACATTTCATTGTTCTCACTTGTGATACTAACTGTTCTTTTTCCCCCATGGCAAGAGCATGTCAACTTTACCATGGCTCGCCTTGCAGGTGGTGGTTCCTGTTGGCCCCTCCCAAGCTTTTCAGTCCATTACCATTGCTGTGTTGGCTGAGTGCCTTCTGGGGCGCGGGGGCCTCTGCCTCTGGGTGTTGGAACCTCCATCTCTGTTGCAGCTCCCCAGGAAGCTTAGACCTGTTTTCCCAACCCCAATCCCCTCAGGGCTGCCTGCCCTAGACTGCTATTTGGCTTCTGTCCCAACACTGAGCATGCTCAGGGAACTCAGCCTGGAGTTTAGGCTGGTTTCCAGGAAACCCCCAGGTCGCCCTGTCCTGCCCTTGAGTGTGAGAGCTTTGCCACCAAGCCTTAACCCACTCCATTAAGACGCCACTCAGTAGAAGGTTTGCTTTTCCTGATGGATCTTTATGACCTTATTTTTGTCTTTTCTGTCCCTCTTAAAGTGAAGTCAACTACAGAACTGAGGGTCAGTGCAGAGCCCAGGGCTGAGTTTGGCCACATTCTCCTCTCTCCATCCTTAAGGGTGTCTGGTGGCCCTGGCAGGACCTACTGGCAGAGGTGTTGAGGGGCATGCTCGCTGTTGGGGCGGGTGCGGGCTGGGCCGGTGGAGGGCTGCTGCTGTTTTCTCTCACTCATTTCCTAGGTCTTCCTCTCTCCTCTCTGTGGCTCTGGTGACAGGGACGATCCGTAAGGCTCAGAACCTTCTGAAACAGTATTCCCAGCATGGTCTAGATGGGAAAAAGGGGGGCTCTAACCTCATTCCTCTGGAAGGTAATCACCCTGTGCCCCTTTTCCATCACCCTCTTCCTCTGCGAGTCCACTCGCTCCTTAGGCGGGGCAGAGCCTCTCCCAGGAGGGCCTTGGGACAAATCCTGAGGGGGTGGGTGGGGGTGGCAAACCCTTGATACTCCTCAGGTTTCAGCAGGCCTGAGGACAAGTTTCGTGACCCTGGCCTGGTCCTGCCTGGCTCTGCTCTTCCTAAGGCCCACCCTCCCTGTCTCTGTCCTGTGTCCTGTGTAAACTCCGAGAAAATTGTCTCGGGGCAGCCCTTTCACGCCCGCATCAGCAGGGCAGGACCAAGTTGGTCAACCTCCCAGCTACTCCTCTCTGTAGAAAGGGAACTTCTTGCATCTAAGGGGACAGGCTGCCTGGAGGACATGGCTTTTCTCTGCTGTCAGGGGAGGGATAGCCAGGTCAGCTGTGTTGGTGGACCCACCTCCTCCAAAAGAGTCACCCTGGGATGCAAAGGAGGCCTGTCCTCATTCACTCAGCAGTGACAGCTCTCATGAGTCTCCCTGGAGCCATGCACCTTCTCTTGGCCTCCCTGGGTTGGAAAAACAAACCAGGCCAGGGATGGTCTTTAGCACTCCCTGAGAGTCAGGCTTGAAACGGCTGTTCCCAGCGGGGTTTGAGGCAGGGGAGGGGCTCAGAGCCCTCCTCAGTGCTCCCTCCCTGTGCCCCATTTCATGCTCCGCTCCTGGAGATCAAGGGCTTCCTCCCCATACCCCAAGGGGCAGCTGCCTGGCCCCTGGATAAACGCTGCTTGTGTTTGTGCGGCTGACATCTTGCTAGGTCACGAGCATGATTTCCGAGTTAAGCACCTGTCCGAGGCCCGGAACGACAAGCACGGGCCACTGGCCGGTGAGTACCGTAGCCCAGCCCCAGGGCAGCCGCTGACACTACCTACGAAGTGGTCCCCCGGATGACCTGCTCTGCTCTCAAGATGGGCCTGGCCTGTGGCCCGGCTCCACTCCAGTCTCCTTTGGGCCCTAGGTCTCCTTGCCTCTTGTGAGATGGGAGTGCATGCTTGGCTCTCGGGGCCTGGCCAGAGGAGGAGCTGCAGCTTGAGCTTGGAAGGCAGGCAGGATGGCAGGTGGCTCCTCTGAGGTCATGAGCCTGGGTATCTCACCACTTGGAGCCATCCATAACATATAAAACCAGACTGTTCTGTCCTGGGGCCACTGCCCATCCTCCAATAGTGGGGTGCTGTCTGCTCCTGGGGCAGCTCAATAAGGAGCCCTCCCTCTCTGCGGCTCACTTATCTCTTCTTGGATTGTTTAGCTCTCCTCTACACACACACACACACACACACACACACACACACACATACACACACACACACACACACACAGGAGCCAGCCTCAGAGGCCATAGCCCACTACTCCCTTACACTTTTTAGGGTCTGGTAAGATTGGTAATGACCTTCATAAGAACCATCTCCCAGATTAAGGACCACAGTGACTCCCCTCCTTAAAGTGGACACTGCCACCTGCCCATCCCACACTGTCATTTCCAAGCACAATTCAGGATCCTCAGACCTAGGAGTTTTCCTTCCTTCCAGCTTTCTCCCACCACCTCTAGTGTTTGACTGGAGCCATAAACACTGCCCGTGCTGAGTGGAAAGCGATGCCAGGACAGTGTTTGGACTTGGCATCATCTCCCAGGCCTGCCAGAGCAGTAGTCTGCCTCTGTCTACTCACTGCTGGTCTGGGCTCAGCCCAGGAGCTCGCAAGACTCAGACCCCAGTGGAGTGCGAGGTCCTCCCAGACCGGCTACTCAGGGCACTGCTGTCCCTCTAGGGAGAGACGACATGCTGGATGTGGAGACGGACGCCTACATCCACTGCGTCAGCGCCTTTGTCAAGCTGGCCCAGAGTGAATACCAGCTCCTGATGGACATCATCCCTGAGCACCATCAGAAGAGAACCTTCGACTCCTTGATTCAGGTCTTAACCTGCTCGCCCTGCAGCTCTGAGCACTGACCCATGTAACTTACTTCAGAATCAAGAGGGTGGGGCAGACCTCTTGCCCTGAGCCCGTGACTCTGGTGTAGTCATGACCCCCTCCCCCATCCTTCACAGCATGTTGGCTCCCCTTCACACCCACGAGGTGCCCCGACTGTCTCTAGGAACCAACTCTGCTCTGCCCCTGCATGAGCAGGGTCCTTATCCTTCTTCCAGGATGCACTGGATGGGCTGATGCTTGAAGGGGAGAACATCGTGTCTGCTGCCAGGAAAGCCATCATCCGCCATGACTTCTCCACAGTGCTCACAGTCTTCCCCATCCTGCGGCACCTCAAGCAGACCAAGCCTGAGTTTGACCAGGTGCTCCAGGTATGTGGGCTGGGAGGCCCTAAGGGCCTTTCTCACACGGCTTCCCTGTACTCATTCTGGGAAACTCTTCCAATGTCTCCTACCTCTCTTCTGAGGTGGCTCCTGAGAGGCTTTGGACAAGGTAGGGTGCTCACAAGGTAATAGAAGAGCTGTAGCTAATCTTGAACTGGAGAATGCAGCCTCTGGAGTGAGGAGCTGGAAGGAGTTAGGCCTACAGCTTCCTGGAGAGGGCAGTGAGCTGGACTCTGATGAATATGTCAGCCATGTCCTTCCTTAGGGCACAGCTGCCAGCACCAAGAACAAGCTGCCTGGCCTCATCACCTCCATGGAGACCATTGGAGCCAAAGCACTAGAAGACTTCGCTGACAACATTAAGGTGCCCACAGCCCCTTTCCCTTTCATCAGGCCTGGCTTGCTCACTGAGCTCTGGGGACTCCTAAGAGAGCAGCCCTTCAAGAGAGTCAGGCTTGCTCTGTAGAAAAGCCCCTGCGCTGCTGGTTTCCGGGGAGACCCTCTGGCTTTCTCTGTTTCTTCCCTGGCACTGAAGCCCTCTGAGGCTGACATCCTTGTCTTGCTCAGCTTCTGAGGCTGAAGGAATGCCTAACACCCATGTACCAGGAGGTGGCGCCATAGGCAGGCTGACTAAGGCTCAGGATGAGCCAGGGGCTACTGTGGGAGCCCTTTCTGGGACTCAGAGGGTGTTCTTTTTTCTCCCTTCCCACAGAATGACCCAGACAAAGAATACAACATGCCCAAGGATGGCACCGTTCATGAGCTCACAAGTAACGTAGGTGCCACTCAAGCACTGCTGGAGGGGGGCAAAGAGCACTCGGGCTCAGGCTCTGGGGGTCCAGCAGTGGGAACCCAGCCTGCCCAGAGCTTCTGGCCTTCATGAGCAGTCATTGGTGGTGAAGGGTTAGCTTCTGCAGCACACAGGGCCTCTCAGGCAGCCAGAGTGCAAAGATAACACTTGAAATTTCCAGTTGCTCTTGGCACTGTGAAGACTTGCCCTGCTGGTTGGAAAGGGTATGTGGGGGAAGCCGTTGCCTTGGGCCTACCCTGACCCTCTTGGGTCTGTTCTCTCCACCAGGCCATCCTTTTCCTACAGCAGCTTCTGGACTTCCAGGAAACAGCGGGTGCCATGCTGGCCTCCCAAGGTACACAACACCCGAGCTGGGCTTGCCTGTGCCCTGCTGCCCCCCCTTGCCTGGGGACATAGAGTTAGGCCCCTAAGAGGCACTGACTTGCTCTGGGTGAGGGCAGGGTATGGTGAAGTGTCTTCTGTAGCCCATGGAGTGGGATTAAGGCATAACCTGTGGGGGAGCCTCAGCCCCATGGACTTCTCGAGAATGAGCATAAGGAGGGCTGGGTTTGTTGACGCTCTTAGGAACCCCAACCCTTGCTTGCTCCTTTGGCTGTCAGTACTCTGGGGGGCACTGCAGGTCTCAGGTGCCCGTCCTGCCCCGCCACACTGCCGTACTTCTCCACTCCCTCCTGTATCGTCTGCCTGTTCTGTTGCTCCATCTCCTTGCTGCCCCTTGATGGGACTGGAGCTTGGGAGGCTGGCATGTAAGGAAGAGTGCTCGTCTAGGTCATCCTAAGAACGGAGGTCCTGCGCCCTCCATTTGCTTTTATTTTGGGGGCAAGAAGCCAAGGAGCTGCCAGTTCTCTTGAGCTGCACTTTCCAGGGTGTTTTCTGGCCTTGAGTTAGTTCGTCTTGGTGTGTGCTGCTGTCTGTGTCTGGTGTCCTGGGGGAGGTCTGCTTGGCTCGGGGTGGCACTGCCATTTCTAACCTGGTTTTTGCACTTTGCATCTTTCTCCTCCTCTTTCCCTCCTCCCTCTCTGTGTGCACTGCCTGTCACTCCGTAGTTCTTGGGGACACATACAATATTCCTTTAGACCCCCGAGGTAAGCAGTGTGCCCCCCCCCAGCCCCATCCTCCCCTCCAAAGGCCGGTGGGTGAGGTTCCCAGGGGACCAGTTCTCAGGACTCACTGAGGGCAGGCCAGAGGGGCATGAGTTCTTCAAGGGTGCCCTTATCTCTCCCTCTTCCCGTCACAGCTACCTCTGTCTCTAAGCCTAACCAGGCAGCACCCTAATGGCTCCAGCACCCTAAGAACACCCCCTGGCTAGCCTAACCTTTCCCCTTGGCCTTCCGTTCTATATCATCTGGTCTCTGTGCTGGGGGTGGGGGAATCGGGGGATTGTGAGAAGGTGGAAAGACTGGGTGACCCTGCCCAGAAACCCTTGCTGTTGGCAAATAAGTACAAAAGATCTAATAGATACTGCCCATCTTAGGTTGGGGACCAGGCTAAGAAGGTTGGGAAGGTGTTGGTAACCCATACTTCTCCTATCTGCCTGCCTGCTCTCATGGGTTGGTTCCTTAACCCATTACTGTGGAAGACAGCCCTGGGACCCAGAAAGAATCCACTGTGCTTCCTATAGCTCAGCAGGTGCCCATCTCTGCTTAGGCTCTTCCTTCAGTCCTGCCTGCCCACAAAGCCCAGGGCCTCTCCAACAATCCCTCCTCTCCCCTGGGGTGTGGGAAGGGCCATCAAGGGTCTTGGCCATTGCCACCACAGTAACAGCACATTTCCTCTCAGAAACCAGCTCTTCGGCCACCAGCTACAGCTCCGAGTTCAGCAAGCGCCTGCTGAGCACCTATATCTGTGAGTTTCACTGGCAGAACCCACTCCGTCTCCCTCATCTCTTGCCTCGGTGCTGTCCATCTATTCCTGGGTCCCTGTCCTGGCCTTGGAATAGTAACCTACATCCTAGTTCAGGACCCAAGGGTTGAGAAGAGCTTCAGAGGCCTGGGAGTCAGAAGAACAAGAAACAGTTGTCAGGCCCTAGTGGTTGGATCATTTGGATCAGACACTCGTGGTTAAGTGGCCCCATCTTTCTGTATAGGCAAAGTCTTGGGTAACCTGCAGCTGAACTTACTGAGCAAGTCCAAGGTGTATGAGGATCCAGCATTAAGCGCTATCTTCCTACATAACAATTACAACTACATCCTCAAGTCCCTGGAGAAGTAAGTGGCCCTGCCTCGGCTGGGCAGCCATGCCAACCTCTGCCTTCCAGGGCTGGATGCACCATCTACAGCCTCCTAGCCCTGTGTGTTTTAGTCTCCTCGGTCAGCACCCAAGGGATGCTTCTGCTTTCAAGCTTAGGAAGGTTCCAAACAAGAAGCCTCCTTCCCAGTGTTGCTGCCAAGGCCAGTGACTTCCGGGACCCAGGAGTTTCTTTTCTCTTTCTCGTCCACCTTCACCCAGGTCTGAGCTGATCCAGCTGGTGGCTGTGACCCAGAAGACTGCTGAGCGCTCCTACCGCGAGCACATCGAGCAGCAGATCCAGACCTATCAGCGGAGGTAAGCAGCCACCAGCCCTCTTGCTGTCCTTGCCTGAACCCACCACCCTTTCTGCTCAACCCCCTCATAGCATGAGGCCAGCAGCTACTGACTGACGTCACAGGTAACCCACCGTTTGCTTTCCTCTCAGGGTTTGTTTTTAGTGCTGGGGCTCAAGGCCAGGGCCTCGCACAGGTTCAGTATGGGACCTGCCACTAAGGCACGCCCCTAGTATTTTTTTTTTCTCTTCTTGTTTTTTAAATCTAATTCATGGGTGAAGAGAGAAGCTCTCCCTTCCTCCCTTTGCTAGCTGCTCCCCAGGAACCACATAGCCTCTTCAGAGTGATCTGCCAAGTGTCATGGCTAAGAATAGTTGAAAAGTGAACTGTCAGAAAGAGAGATGAACAATGTTTAGCCCTAGCGAACAGCGGGTTGTGAGAGCTCTTGAACTTGGAAAGGTTCTGGCTACTTCTCTGGTCCTCTGGTTTCCTTGGCCTGTTTCTTTCTCAGTGTCTCCCACTTCCTTCCTGTTTATCTGTTCTCTGCTCCTTCTTTTCCCATCTGTTTCTCTATCTTAATTTGCCACAATATTGATGTGAACTGTGGTCGGCAGCATTTGTTCAGTTTATTGAGTGCCTTCTGCTTCCTATTCCTAATTGTCAAAGCGAGCAGCTTAAACATTTTCTGTTCCCAAGGAGAGCATCTCTGTTGTTTTGCTTACTCCTGACCCAGATAATTCCTACTGCCCCCACCTTCAGTAGATTGAGAGATTTGAAAACAAGCCAGCTGACTTTAGGGAAGAAGCAACTCTCTGAAGCTGGCCCTCTCTGTCTCTCACCCTGCTCTCTGGCAGCTGGTTAAAGGTGACCGATTATATCGCAGAGAAGAATCTTCCAGTGTTCCAGCCTGGAGTCAAGGTAAGTCCAAGACCTGTGCCAGGAGGGATTGGGGAGGCGATGTGATGATACTTGTGTCGTAGGAAGAATGGACAAGCATCTCTCTGGAGGTGTGAGATGGAGATGTGTGAGGCCATGAGTGCAGCAGGAGGGGGTTGGGGCAGGAGAGGACAGCGTTGTGCTGCTCTGAGCCTGGCATTCTCTGCTGCCTTCCTCTGCTCTCTGGACCCCCAGCTCCGGGACAAGGAGCGGCAGATGATTAAAGAACGTTTCAAGGTGAGCCGAGGTCCTCCCTTCCACTGATTTCGGCTGCCACTGTGGCGGCATAGACACAAAGCTTTTGTCTCTTGGTCCCTCCTTCCTGCCTGTTTGGTGGTCAGGGATTCAATGATGGCCTTGAAGAGCTGTGCAAGATTCAGAAGGCCTGGGCCATTCCAGACACAGAGCAGAGGGACAAGATTCGACAGGCTCAGAAAAACATTGTCAAGGAGACCTATGGGGCCTTTCTGCACAGGTGAGCCCATCCCGCCCCCCCCCCCCCCAGGCCCTCTGCTGTCCGCTTTCCAGGTGACCTATATGCTCTCTTCCTCGGGAGGGGAAAAACAAAGTTACGACGGAGTAGGACGGCACGTGTGGTGCTCTGGGCTTTGGGACTTAACTCAGGGCACCCCGCATCTTAGCACCCAGGCAGAGTGTTAAGGATGCTGACACTTAGGCTGAGGGTGGAGATGCCCGCCCCCTTGACCTCTTACCATGGTGCCTGGTCAGGTATGGCAGCGTGCCCTTCACCAAGAACCCTGAGAAGTACATCAAGTACCGTGTGGAACAGGTGGGCGACATGATCGATCGCCTTTTCGACACCTCTGCCTAACCCTGCCAGTGTTCTGCCTGGTTCCACCACACTCACACGTTGTTGGACTGGTAAACCAGCGTTAACATACCTCCAGGCCAGGTGAGTCTGAAGTCCTTTGCAACAGAGACCTTTGTACCCCACCCGGGAGCCCTGACCTGGTGTTGGCATCTCCCCTGCGGCCCACATCTCCTGTCAAACCAGCACTCACCCAGAATGTGGCTCCTTTCACACCTTGGGTTTCACAATGAAGCGTACCCGGTGGGGCCACATGATGGCTTCTGAGGCAGAAGACAAAAAGACAGAGACTGGTGTCCCCAGCTGCCGTGTGGATCCAAGAATGGGACGGCAGCCTCCACCCTGGCCTACTTCCATCCTCTTCAGCCCACAGATGTGAGCAGGCTCAAAACACAGGCCAAACGACAGCCAGCAGACCTGGGGGAAGGCTGTCAGTGTCGACCTCCTCTCTTGGATTTAGTTCATTGTCCACAGTTCTGTGCTCTGGGATGTCCCACCACCTGGGACTCCCTGGTGACAAGAGGCAGGAGAGCTCTGTCTCTGGTCCCTTTGGATCTGGCACACTGCAAGAAGTATTTGGAGGAGTTCTGAACCACCCTGTGGGGCCAGCCGCTCAGTCATCTGTTCCCTGGTTCCCAGCTTCGGTACTCATGGCCCAGGCCATGCAGCCGTGGTTGCAGGGGCTTTAGGCTGAATGCATGGGGGACAGGGAACTAGTGGACAGAGGCGAGCAATTCAGGAGCAGAGTGGGAGATCATGAGGGTAAAGTTAGGCTGTACTACTTAGGATGGCAGTGAACAGCCATAGTCAAGAAGGGCAGGCCCCAACGGTGCATTTGAGTGATGGCTTGTTTTGCTTTTGTACACAGAGAGGGGAGCTCAGGATGCATGAGCCTCCTGTTAGAGAATGGAGCTGACGCTTCTCTAGAGACACTGTTCTAGCTCTCACCTGGCTATGGGAACTATGCTGCACCCTTAAATCTGTATTCTAGGCCCCACCCTATTACAGACCAGCCTGTCCACCATGAGGAGTCTGGCCAGCTGTCAGTGTGCAGCTGATCCCTCTGCTCTGTTAAGTCTACTCCAGCGCCTCGTTCCTCATGGCCTCGCACTCTCAGATGGGCCTAGCCCTTGCCTACCTCCCACACTAGTCCTGGGCTCTTCTGAAGGTCACTCTTTTCCACTCTGGGCACGGGGTTGGGGCTGCTCTTGTCTCCAAGGTGTATCTCGACGCAGCCTTGGTGCAGAGGAAGAGCAGCAGCAGATGAAGACGTAAACTGCCAATGAAGGGACAGAGGCTGGCCCTGAACTGTCCAGTCTTGGTGACTAGGTGGGGCTGGGGGGGGGGCAGGGGGCATCATACTGAGCAGTGGATTGCAGGAAGGGGAACTGGGCAGAGTCTGCCCTTGGAGGAGTGGAAGGCAAGGTAGCTAGCTGAGCAGCAGTGTTGCCTCTGGGTATATACCATCCCTCTCCCCTCCACCAGGCTCTACCAGCCTCTTCCCAGGTAGAAGTGTCACCTGGAGCAGGGCATGGGATGCTGGCGTGGGACCTGAGCTTTCAAGTCACGAACTGCATGTTCTCTCTTGATGCAGTCTCATCCTGCACATGGGTGTGGAACACCAGCCCCATCACTGAAAAGGATAGGGTGCCAAGTGTGAACTAGGGAGAGACTGAAGCACACGGAAGCTGCGGGCTTCCGAGGGCCTCTGAGGGCCATGGGAGAGGAGCTAATCCACAGGTTTTCACAGCCTCTGGAAGCACATCAGATGGCCTCCAGTTAAAGAAGAGCCTTAGATTCAGAGATGAATTTTCCTTGTGGAAATAAATGCACTTGGCAGCACCTCATGACAGGGAAGTGATTGCAGATTCATCTTTGTCCACCATCTCATACCAGAAACATTAGGGCCCATGGGGCAGCAACTGTGGGCTTTCCTGGGCACGCTTTGCCAGTGTGACATCTGGTGACTTCGTGCATATGTATTGGGTGGCTGCCCCTTCCGTTGCCTTTGGAGATGAGCCTCTAAGTCTGGCACACCTGGCCCAGACACTAGCCTGGTCCTGGCTGTGGAGAGCAGTTGTTCTGGGGAGAGAAGAATGAAGGGACAGGAAGCAGCTATTGTGGAGCAGCTCTGATAACTGGAGCTGTGACACTGCAGGGGGATTGGGAACCAGGGAGGGACTGATTTGGTGGGAGGTATGGACTCTGTGCTGCTCTGTGCTCCATTCAGCTGCCCTAAGACTGGGATGGGGATGGGGGAGGGCGTGCACACTGGTCTGATAGGTCACAGAGCCCTGTCCAGGCTAGACTGGAGACCAGCCTCTCTAACATCCCACCCAGTCTCACACCCCAGGCTCTGTGAGCACCAGTGTTGCTGAAAGGGTCGAAACTGAGGCTACAGTCGCTGTGGTCCCTGAGGAAATGGAGGAGCTCAAAGTCACAAGTGATCTCCATGGTTAGGGCCAAGTTAACTCCACATGACCATCCTGGTCCACTCAGGCTTATGTGTCTTGGACCTTCCAGTCCACTCGGAGCCTCCAGGGAGAAGCACCATGGCCAGAGCCCAGCCCATTCTTGTGCTGGGGCAGGGGAGACCTTTCCCCCAGTTTTGCCAGCCCCACCAGGGCTCTGCTAGAGAGATTCTTTGCACATGCAACTGTGGTAGCCACCAGAAGGGAAATGTTCCCTGAGAGGCATCTGGAGATGGAAGGGGGAGGAGGGGCACTTATGTGGTACCTACCTGAAATCCCTACCTCACACTTCCTGGAATGTGAGTCTGGGTATCCAGAGTGAATTCTAGGGCAGTGTGACTGCATGCTGGGAATGCATGTTAACATTCCAGGTTAGATGAGCAGCCAGCCAGGACTAGGGACACAAGGAGTCCAGTGAAGCCTCGTTCTCCACATATGTATCCTTAAACTCAGTATATTGATGAAAGCTAATGTTTGGAATGTGTTCCCACCTCTACCTCCCCAGGTGGGAGTTCACCAGCCTTAGCATCAGCACTGTGCTGCAGGATGTGCTGGGGAGGGGAACATCACATTGGGTTGGCCACTGGGACAGGCAGCAGGAAGCCCAAACACTAGCCAAGGCTGAATTCTGTTCCCTTTCCAGTTTGGCACTAGGCCCTGTGCCTTGCTGCATCATCAGGACACCTACCGAATTAAACACATTGGACACAAACACCTGCATACTTATTAGCAGTGGTGCACTCCCATTTTTCAGAATCTGGATGGCCTCCTGAAATTCCAGGTGTTGAAGGATAGCCAGGTTGATGGATGAGGTCAGGTTTATCTCAGGACCCAAATCCGAACACTTAAAACCTTGAGCCCTCTACCTACCAATTGCTAATTCCTGGAAACTGGTCTTCTGGATCAAGAGCTGGTTGTTGCTGAGCTGGAGAAAGGCTAAATGGAGCTGGATCCACAGAGCCATCATCAGACTCTGGGCAGAGCAGTGGGGTCTAAACTACAACCTTCATTCAGCCCATTCTGTGAGGACTGAGCCACTGAAAGGAGGCAGCTGCTCTGTGAAGGGCTCAGCCTTGGACTAAGCATACTTCTGTCCAGTTCCACAAACACCCAAAGACAAAGCTCAGAGACCAGCCACTGCACCTGCCTAAGTATCCTTTCCTGCTCCATTTCCAGCACCTGGAACACACTGCCCTATGAGGCAAGCCTAGGATCTTTTATTTGTTTATGTATGCGTGTTCTGTCTGTTCATATGCCGCATGCCAGAAAAGGGCATTAGAAACCAATGTAGATGGTTGTGAGCCACTATGTGGTTGCTGGGAACTGAACTCAGGACCTCTGGAAGAGGAGCTCTTAACCACTGAGCCATCTCTCCAGCTCCACTGTGTCTCTTCTACAAGCCCTAGTTAGGGCTGGCTGTGCCCTTTAGTGGTGCCTTTGGCCAAAGTCAGCCCACTCCACGATGTGTGTTGGAGACATCTTTGTCCTTGCTGCTCCTTAAATACTTAATGTAAAGTGCCTTGGCTCAAGAACTCAGGGACAGATAGAGACCAGTGACTGAAACCCTGGGCATCCCTGTCCTGCTGAATTAGCTTGCCCCAACCCAAAGTACTTAGGATCAATCACTGTAGTTTATGTGGAATGGAACCTGTTGGAAGGTGACTTTTTGACCCCCAAGCAAAAATGAAAATGCTAGGTACTCGATCCTGCCCAATTGTAGGCAGCAAAGCGAATGCAGGGCCAAGTGTGAAGCACTCACTGGTCAGGATGCCCAGACTCAGAGTGCAATTGTGCATGAACAAACTGGAAACACAAACACATGATGTTTGTCCATCAGTCAGCGTCAACTCAAATGTGTTGCTTGTCTTGGTCACGTGAGTTGGCTGATAACTTAGGTATGGACAACTAGCACCTGGAAGTAGGGGGCACACGGTAGGCATCACTGGATCCCTAGCTTCAGTTAGGGACTTTAATTTTCTAGTATCTAAGCTAAGCGCCCTGCACCCCACTATGAGAAGCCTCCCACACCCTGTAAAGTTCCAAAGGCTTTTTACCCCAGGCTTGGGGCTTCATGTCAAAATCCCACGTGCATCACAGCATATGAAATGGTTTGAATCTTTTAAGAATTTTATTATTGTTCAGACTGCATCTCGTGTAGTTCAAGGGGGGCTCAAACTCCAGGCTGGCTTTGCTCCTGTTCCTTCAACTACCCAAGTGCTGGGATTGAAGGTTTATGTCACATGACCAGCAATCTGTGCAGTTTAATATCAGAGAAGCATTTCCCTACAATTAGTCTTTGGCTGCAACCCACAGGTGTCCTCAGGCCACACTGTGAAAATGTCCTTAGATGCCCTTTGATCCTTTAACCGACAGGACTGAGGGCTCTACTCGAGGCTGTGCAGTTGGGAAGTCCGGGTGCTGGACAAGAGGCCCCGCTGCTGCCTCGCTCACATGTGTCAGGTCTGTGGACTCGCGTTCAAGCACACTGCCACTATGGTTGCCAGACGCCACAACGCACACCCGGCCTGAGGCTCGCCTCGGGGCGCGGCACAGCAGGCCTGCGCAGATTTTGCGGAAACCCTTGCGGAAATGCTTAGAGACCAGCGCGTAAACGATGGGGTTGACACACGAGTTGGCATAAGAAACTAGGTGTGAAAGGATGCGCAGCGCGTAAGTGGCGCGCGTGAGCGGGAAGCGACCAAACCACACGCAGAGGATAAGCGCGTGGTGGGGCATCCAACATAGGCAGAAGAGCGCGGCGACGATGACGATCATGCGTGTCACCTTGCGTTTGGCGCGCTGGGAGCCCGAGCCTGCCGCCACTGGGTCGACTGTGCGCCAGAGGTAGCGCAGGGTACGCGCGTAGGTCAGGCAGAGGACGAGCACAGGCAACAGGTAGCTGAAGACGAAGGTGCAGAGGTCCATGGCGCGGCGTCGAGGCGCGCTCCATGCTGGGTGGCACACGGTCAGGTTGGCCAGCTGTGACTGACGGTAGTAGCTCAAGTAGGGCCCGGAGAAGAGCAGTGCGAACCCCCAGATGAGCCCGATGGCCGCCAGCGCGTTTCGGGGTGTGCGCAGCTCTCGGGAGTGCAGCGGGTAGCGGATGGCCAGATACCTGTGGAACAGTGCAGAGCCAGGGATGTGTCCCGTAAACGAGAGGACTCACCACCGCCAACCCTACCCTAGCTCTGGAAGAAGGCCTCAAATGTAAGGTTATATGGCCTATGTCTGAAGGGCAGGTCCAGTGCGTCTGATATTTGTTTGATCCTAGAATTAGGACAGGACCTGGTAGCAATAATGGCTGGAGTCTAGACCATTCATCGGCTGTCCCTACGAATGTGGCTACCGACTTACTCCACTCGAGAAGACGAAAAGTTGGAGAATTTGCCTTGACTCTTTTTTTTTTTTAAGATTTATTTATTTATTATGTATGCAGAAGAGGGCGCCAGATCTCATTACAGATGGTTGTGAGCCACCATGTGGTTGCTGGGAATTGAACTCAGGACCCTCTGGAAGAGCAGTCAGTGCTCTTAACCTCTGAGCCATCTCTCCAGCCCTAGCCTTGACTCTTGACTCTTGAGGGCAGTGATTATTCTCCTCTATTGACAACCTGGGGAAGGCAGATCCCTAGTGCCTGAGGCTCTGACAGATGAGACTTAGGTTAAGGAACAGCGAGGAAATTCCTGAAGAAAGCTGAAGTTCTGTGCGCCCCACCAGCAGACTCGGAACCCACACCTTGCACACGATGGAAATGGGAGGAGAATGGGGATCACCACCTTTCTTGACTGCTCTTCCGTGGGGAGGTCCAAATGATGTGGGAAGGGTGGGAAATAACAGAATCAAGTCAGGATTTCCTCCCTAGGACCTGTTCCTAGTGTCTTCCAGCCAAGATCCCTCCAGAGCATTCTAGAAGTTTCTCTTTCTCTGCTCTTTAGCTAGAGCGGGAACATCAAGCCGCTGGCTTCCCTGGCCAGGAGCCTTGGCCCGGAGGGCGTTCGGGAGCAGCGAGGAACCCTCACTTACACTCTCTTGGACTTCAGCACAAACCCTCCCCACACACAGCCCAGCCCCAAGCCTAAGACGCCAGACAACGGTCCAGGTCCCGAGAAACAGAGGCTTCCCTGTAGGATTCAATTACCATCTGGCAAGTTACACACTACACTAGCTCTGAGTATGGTTCTGTTTCATAGAGGCATTAAGCTCAAGCAATAATAATGTGAAGACTCCAGAGGGCTGACTTCTCCAGCCTTCGAGGTCCCAGGACCGACTTAATCGAGGGACATTCTTAGTCACTGACGCTTAATCCTTTTTCTCCTCCGCTCCGGCTTGCGTTTGTTTCACTGCTTCAGGCTATTGTGATTTCGGTACTCTCGCCCACTCTGCGCATCCCTCCTGTATCCCTGAGTTGAGGCTCCAACTCCAGCCCCTCCCTGGGTACCTGGTTCTCAGAGACAACAGAATGCTCGCCCACCTGTCCAGGGAGACCGCGGCCAGTGTGAAGCTGCTGGCGTGCATGGTGAGGAAGATGAGGAAATGAACGGCCTTGCAGAGCAGCGAGCCGAACACCCAGCCGTCCAGGGTGTAGATGGTGGCCTGGAAAGGCACGCAGCACAGGATGAAGCACAGGTCGGCCACGCCCAGGTTGAGGATGAACAGGTTGGTGGTGCTGACCGCCTGGCCGCCGCGCAGCAGCACAGCCAGCACCAGCGCGTTGCCCACGGTGCCCACGAGGAAGATGAGCGCGAAAAGCAGGGGCACGAGGACCGCCTCGGGCTGCCAGCCGCCGCTGCTGACTTCCTGGCTCGTGTCCTCGGCCCCCAGGCTGCCCGAGCCATTCATGGTGTCAGCGAAGCGGACCCTGCCCTGGCTTCCGCAGCGGTCCCGGTTTTGGTGAGCCTGAAGCTCCCTCGCTGCAGCGCCCCAGTGAGACTCTGCAGAGCTCCAGGAGCGAGAGCAGGGATGCGCAGGGGACGGGAGGAGGAGCGAGCACCCAGAGTGTAGGACTGTTCCCCTCGCTGCGGCCTGCCGCCAGGAGAGCTGCTGTCGGATGACCCTGGCTCCACTTCCCGGCTCTCCTCCCCTGGCTCCTGCGCTCCGGTCCGGGATTCTCCCCGCTTTAGACTGAGTTTACTCACAGGCATGCCACACCGCCCCTGGAGCAGTGTGGTGCACTGAGGAGCAGTGTGGAGGGACCAGGGGGTGCACGCAGGACGTAGGGTACCCTTGAGAGATCCACCCCACTACCCGGAATATGGGGGCTGACACCGAGTACAGGCACCATGGTTGGTCGCCCTGCCTGCCCCCAACACACACAACTGGCAAAGTGGAATAGCCAGCCATACATTCCCTGCCTCTTTCCAATTCTAATTCCTTGGAGCACTTCATCCTGACACAGGAACTCTAGAGGGTAACCCTGGAGGAAAGGAGGGTTTTTTGTTGTTTGTTTTGAGACTGGGTGCCTCTGTGCAGCCCAAGTTGGACTTGAACGCACATCCCTTCTGCCTCAGTCTCTGTAGTGCTGGAATTACAGCCATATACCAACCAGTCTGGCCAGAATGGATATTTTCATCTCACTTCTTTTATTTCATCCACCAAATGTTTCCCTCCATTTTAACGCAGTTCACTGAACACACACTACTGTTGACGGGACACTGGCCCACTGGAAGCCGTTAGATTACATTCCTAAAGCTAGCCCCCACGGTCTATTCCCTTATTTGGCCACCTCCTTCTCCTGAGGCTGACTACCAAAGTCTAGCTATCAAAGTATTGAAATCCAGCAATCAAAAATGTTCTTTGGGCCGGGTGGCGGCGGCGGCGGCGGCGGCGGCGGCGCATGCCTTTAATCCCAGCACTTGGGAGGCAGAGCCAGGCGGATCTCTGTGAGTTTGAGGTCAGCTTGGTCTATGGAGCGAGATCCAGGACAGGCACCAAAACTACACGGAGAAACCCTGGCTCGGAAAAAAAACAAAAAAAAAAACTCCACAAAACAAAAGCAAGCAAGCAAACAAACAAACAACCCGCCCCTTGGCTCACCTAATTAACACGCCCAGTTAAAATTAAGCACCTCATCCTAATAATAGGTTTCCTGCTTCACCTCTATTTATCTATCTATCTATCTATCTATCTATCTATCTATCTATCTATCTATCTATTTATTTATAGGGTTTTTGAGACAGGGTTTCTCTGTGAAACAGTCCTGGCTGCCCTGAAACTATCTCTGTAGACCAGGCTGGCCTCGAACTCACAGAGATCCACCTGGCTCTGCCTCCCAAGTGCTGGGATTAAAGGCGTGCGCCATCACCACCGGGCACATTTTACATTTATAAACTGCCATTTGCCTATGCGTCACATCTGTCTTCTATCCAGAGGCAGTCCTTTGTTCCCCCAGGAAAATACCCCTGCCCCCTTTCCCTTGTCCCCTTCCCCTTCTCCCGTCCTCTATCTCCTTTACCACCGAATCCCAGCCCATTCTAATACAGACCTCCCTTTTTTCTCCTCTTAAAAATGACACCTGCAGGGCTGGAGAGATGGCTCAGTGGTTAAGAGTTCAATTCCCAGCAACCACGTGGTGGCTCCCAACCATCTGTGGTGGGATCTGGCGCCCTCTTCTGGCCTGCAGGCAGAACAATGTATACATAATAAATAAATTAAAAAAAAAAAGTACTCTTGTTCTTGGAGGCTGTCCAGCTTCAAGAGAGGATGGGAAAAAAAAAAAAAAAGACACCTGCAAGGTCATTTGCTGCTGTTTTCTGCCTGAGTCAGAAAGCAGTCATTTTATCGCCCCCTTCCCTCGCCATTAATAAAGGATCTCTCAGTGAAAACAGGTGTTAGGGTGTGCTTTGTACCTATCCCGGGTCTAGGAGACAGTCCCTGATGTGCAGAGGTCTGCTTCACCTGTCAGCCTGTCTGTGACCTTTACCTCCCTTGTCTGGGATGGAATGCGCCTGGAAACACTGTCTTCAAAGAAGTATGAGGTAAGAATACTAGGAGAAGGGTTGGGACAATGGCCCAGCCTTTAAGAACACTCGCTGCTCTTGCAGAGGACCCAGGTTCAGTTCCCAGCACCCACATGTCAGCACTCATAATTTCCTGTAACTCCAGTTCCAGGAGGTCCAATACCCTCTTCTGCTCCACAGGCTCCTTGCACATGTGCTCTCACAGGCACAAACACTTCACTCCCACACACAAACAAATGCAGGGAGATGCGAAACGGAAACCAGTTTATTAATGGATCAAATCTTATTACCCACTCAGATCTTAATCATGAATATTCTTAATCATGAATCTTAATCATGAATAATCCTAAAGCAGGGCTTGTTGACTCAGACATGGAATGCAAGTACTCTGGAGGCTGAAGTTGGAGGATTGCAAGTTCAAGGCTACCCTGGGCTACACAGTGAATTCCAGGGCAGCCAAGACTACAAAGAAAGCCCTTGTCCAAAAAGAAAAGAATGTAACATTGTTTATCAATGTGTGTGTGTGTCCCCTGAGCATTGAATCCAGGGTCCCATGTACTCAGGGCAATCACTCTACCACTGAGTTACATCCCCAGAACAGAAAAAATTATTTAGTTGGATGTGGTAGGACACATTGGCATATCTATGGTCCCAGCTATTTAGGAATTGGAAGCAGAAGGACCATATGATTCCAGAAATTCAAAGACAGCCTGCACAACACAATGAGACTCTGTCAAAATAAAAACGAAACAAAACATAACCAGTGGCTGGAGAGATGGCTCTAAGAGCACTGGCTGCTCTTGCAGAGGACCCAGGTTCAGTTCCCAGCACCCACACAGCAGCTCACAACTGTCTATAACTCCAGTTCCAGGAGATCAGACACCCTCACACAGACATACATGCAGGCAAAACACCAATGTACATAAAAAACAAAACAACGCATGTTGTGGAACAATCTTTTTGTACACTGTGAGTACATGTTGCTCTCGTCAATAAAAAGCAGACTGGCTGATGTCTAGCAGGATTTTTGGGACAGAGAGAAGGCTAGGAAGAAGAAAGGGTGGAGTCGGGGAGTCATGAGAGTCTCCAGACTCAGAAGCAGCAACATGGGAAGTTCACAGATGAGGTAAACCAGCCTCCAGGGAGCACATAGATGAATAGAAATGGATTAATTTAAGTTATAAGAGCTAGTTAGAAACAAGCCTAAGCTACTGGTGGAGCATTTATAATTAATAATAAGTCTCTGTATGGTTATTTGGGGGCAGCTGCCGGGACACAGGGAAACTCTGCCTCAAATGCACAACCAAACATCTGAATACAGGTGTAGAGGTGAGGAAAACAGCCCACTATTGCTGGGAGAGGACATAAAGAGGGAAGGGGGAGGGGGGAGGAGAGTTGCCATAATGTAGGAGTGTGGTTGTGTCCCTAAGTCACGGCTGGTACGGCTGAGTTGAATGAACAAGAAGGGTGACAAGAGTTGAGGTCAAGACGTCCTTTAAAAATTATGTGAGGGTGGAGAGGTGCTCCACGTTTAAGAGCACTTGTTGGTTGCATTTGCAGAGAACCTGGGTTCTGTTCCCAGCACCCACATGGTGGCTCACAGCCATCTAGAACTCCAGTTTCAGGGGATCTGACACCCTCTTCTGACTTCTGAGGGTGCTGCACACACAGAGTGCATGAACACTCATACTCATAAAAAATCTGAAAAAATTAAAAAAAACATTTAAATTAAAAAATTAAAAATTTGTAATTTTTTTTGTTACTTTGTCTTTTCTTTTTTTCCAGAGCTAAGGACCGAAACCAGGGCCTTGCGCTTGCTAGGCAAGCGCTCTACCACTGAGCTAAATCCCCAACCCCATAATTTTTTTTTAGAGAGGGTCTCTTCTTTGTAGTCCTGGATGTTCTGGAACTCACTCTGTAGACCAGGCTGGTCTCCAACTCACAGAGATCCTCCTGCCTCTGCCTCCTAAGTGCTGGAATTAAAGGCATGTGATATCATGCCCGGCCTGTTATTTTTAACTATATGTATGCTTTAGCTATATTTAAATATATATATATATACGTGTATATATATATATATATATATATATATATATATATATATATATATATTTATATGCCTGCTTGTCTGATGTGCACCTGCATCTGGTGCCTGAGGAGGCCAGAGGAGGGCTCAGGACCCCATAGCTGGAATTACAGTTTGCTGAGAGCCACTGGAGTGGGTGCTGGGAACAGAACCTGGGTCCTCTGCAAGAACAGGCAGTATTTTTAAAGGCTAAGCCATCTTTCCAGTCCTGTCTCCCCCCTTTTACTCCTTCCTTCTTTCCGTTTTTTCTTTCTTATTTATTTATTTGAGTCAGGGTCTCGTGTAGCCAAGCTGGCCTGGAACTTGCTATGTAGCCAAAGACCTTGAATTTTTGATCTTGCTGCCTCCACCTCCCAAATGCTAGGATTTCAGGCCTGGCTTATGTGGTGCTGGGGCTCGGACCCAAGGCTTCATGCATGCCAGAGAAGCTCTCTAACTGAGCAGTATCCCCAGCCCCAACTTTTTCCACTGTGAGGGGAGTGGCATTTAGTCTAGTCACAGGAGGAGGATCTGTAGGGCTTTGACTAGAATGCTCACATAAGTGCACTTTTTCCTCCAACAGCTTTACTGAACTACAAGTCACATGCTCATTTAAAGTATTTGCTTGTTTTGTAGTATGTTCATGTTGTTGGGTGACAATCATCATATTCACCCATACATGTTATTTTCTTGCTTGTTTTGGAAAAGAAGGAATCCTGACGAGTGTGATGTGATACTTGTGTTTTAGGACATTTCTCTTCTCTTCCCACTTTACGGGTCACCTGCACATCCTAAACCCAGTCACTTCATCCTAGCATCAGGTAACTGTTAATCTTTCTGATCTCTATATTTTCCCAATCCAGCCACTTCACACAAACAGAATCATAAAATTTGAGTCCTTTTGCATCTGGCTCCTTTCATTTACTATTTCCTACAATATCCTCAAGGTTCATCCGTGCTGTAGCATGGTCATATTCCTTTACTTTTCTTTTTCCTTTTCTTTTTGTTTTTTCTTTCTTTTTTCTTCCTTTCTTTTCTTTCTTTCTTTTTTTTTTTTTTTTTTGAGTCAGGGTTTCTCTATGTAGCCCTGGCTGTCCCAAAACTCACTCTGTAGACCAGGCTGGCCTTGAATTCAGAGATCCACCTGCCTCTGCCTCCCGAGTGCTGGGATTAAAGGTGTGCACCACCACTGCTCAGCTCTTTATTTTTATGTATATGAGTGTTCTGCCTACATGTATGTCCGTGTACCACATGTGTGTCATGCTCTAGGCCAGAAAAGGGTTGGATCCCGTGGGATTTGAGTTCCACATGGTTGTGAGCTACCATATGGTTGCTGGTAATTGAACCCAGATCCTCTCTGCAAGAGCAACCAGTATTCTTAACTACTGAGCCATCTGTCCAGGCCCAGTGTCTCTTGTTCCTTTTGCTCCTGAGCTACATACTACACATTGGCTGGCCTGTGAACTTTGGGGCGGGGTGTCTCTCCCCTTCGCACATCTCGCCATAGTAGTGCTGGGGTTACAGATGCACGCTACTGTGTTTGGGTTTTGCACACGGGTTCAGTTTGAACTTGGACCTGGTTTGTGCGACAAGTGTTTCTGTCCACTGATCCGTCCGTCCGTGTCCCCGTCCTGCCCCCCCCCCCCCCCCCCCCCCCCCCCGCGCCCAACCATGTTTGTCTTTTGATACAGGACCTCTTGTTGCCTAGGTTGACCTCAAACGTAACTATGTAGCCGTCTGTGAGTCCTCCAGCCTCAGTCTCCTCAATTCTGGGATGACAGGCATGAGCTACCATGGCCATTTCAGCATCCACTTTAAATGGTTATCCCATTGTCACAGATGAGGGAACTGGTTCAGGGCGAGACTTGAGAGTTACTTGCCCAGCATCTCTGCATCCGCAGTGATTGGCACAGGGCCTGGCACAGCCTCGGGACTCCAGATTCCGGGAGTGCCCAAGTCGTTCTTGGACTGACTGATGGTCACACAATCTAGACAAGGCCACGGATCTCAAGCTCCTATTGGGGACACTGCCTTCTGACTGAGGCCAGTGTTTCTCAACATCGACCGCAGAAAAAAACTGTAGAAGCAGTTATATACAAGCTGGGCGCTCCCTAGAATGGAGAAGCTCATTTCTCAGAGTCCCCTAGTTGAAAAACATTTACAATCAGGAATCCGAAGTGTTTAGGCTTTCGCGCCCCCCCCCCCTTTTTAAAATAATGTTTAACTATGCAGTCCAGGCTGACCTCGAACTCGAGGCAATCCTCCAGCCTCAGCCTCCCCAAGTACTGGGGTTAAAGGTGCGCGCCATCACCCTCCAGGTGCAGGGATGCACGAGGTAGGCGTCTTTCTCTGGTCCGCCTGCCCTCGGTGGACTGGAAGTGGGATAACCGTTTCCTCAGGAACGCCAGGACCGACAGCCACCCGGGACGCGCAGGCGCACACTAACGCACGGCTAAGGCAGAGGATAAAAGGCTATCCGCGGCGGAGTCCGTCAGTGTCCCGTCCGCCCGGCCAGGAAGGGGCCGCTCTCTCCTGCCACGGGTCGTCTCGCCTCCTCTATCCCGTCCTGCTTTGCGGCGCAGGGGCAAGATGGCTGCTGAGAAGCAGGTCCCGGGTGGTG